CACATGTGCATGTAGGTATGTATATACATGTGTGAATTTGCAGAGGCCAAGCTTACTATTGTTTCCTTTGCACATTATTATTATATTATTATTATTTTGGTTTTTCAAGACAAGGTTTCTGAGCGTAGCCCAGGCTGTCCTGGAACTTGCTCTGCAGTCTCGAACTCACAAATATCCACCTGCCTCTGCCTCCAGAGTGCTGGGATTAAAGGCATGGACCACCTGGATCCTGTGTCTTATATTTTGAGACAGGGTCTCTCATTGAATGCTCACTGATTCCACTAAGCTGGCTAGCCTCTGAGCTCCAAAGATTCCCTAGTCTATGCTCCCCAGTGCTTGGATTATAGATGCATGAAACCACACCAGCTTTTACATGGGTGCTTGGGTATCTGAACTTAAGTTCCCATACTTATGTGGCAGAACTCTATGTGATTGTAAATGCGAGCCTCCAGCCAACAATGTGTGATTAACCAAGCCGTCCTGATTTAGAAGGTGGAGGAAGAGGAGGAGGAGGAGGAGGAGGAGAAGGAGGAGGAGGGACTAGGACTCTTGCTAAAAGGTAATGAATGACCTACCTTGGAAGAGGCTCCTCAAGCCTGTCTTTCATCTGACTGAAGAGCCAGCAACTGGAACCACTTTTATCTCAAGCCAGAACCATCTAGTCAACTGCTTGTGAACTCCTGACTTCAGATAGGTCATGTTTATTGTTCCAAGTGTTAAGTTTGTTTTGTTATCATTGAGAAGGCATCACTGCTGTCAGCATGGTCTAAAATTTCTGGGCTCAAGTCTGTCTGTCTCTGTCTCTTTGTTTCTCTGTCTCTCTGTGTATGTGTGTGTCTTGATCTCACAAGTACTGGAACTACAGGTGTACACACTGTACCTGGCTAAGCTGTTAAATTCTGAGGTAACTTGTCCAACAAATAACTCAAAAAAACTAGCAAAGTATAATCAAGTAAAACTATACAACCCAAAGAGCTGAGATATTAAATGATTGTTAGTGGTTTAAAAATCTTTTAAAACAGAAAACTCTGGGTCGGCATCCTTATTGAAGTCTACCTGCAATTTAAGGACAGGCAGAGTAAGCTGTTGGGTTTTGTAGTAATTCCTTTGGCTCCTTTACTCTTTTTGAATTTTTTTTTGTTTTTATGTGATCATGGTTTTGTTTTGTTTTGTGCTAGGGACTGAATCCAGGCCAGCACGTGCCAAGTATACATTCTGCTACCAAGTTGCACTCTAAGCCTAAATTGTTTTATTTGTCCTGCTAAGAGCTGATTTTGTTTTGTTCCTGCTATGTTAACAAGGCTGGCTTAGACTTCTTGGGCTCAAGTCATCAACCTGTTCTAGCTTCCTGTGTAGCAGGGACAACAGCTAGGTGCTACATCTGGTTTGTTAAGAGTTCTTGCACCTCTAGTTTCATGTCTTCTTCAATTTGTAAAGTTCTGTTATCTCATTAACTCTGCTTACACTCCAGTCTCCTCTCCAGGGAGTACCAATTCCCTGTCACAGCCTTTTTATGTATCTTTATTACTCTGAATATTTTCTTCACAAACTTTCATTTCAGCTGTGCTTATACTGTTATAAGATCCTAAGTTCAAGTTAAGCATACTTGGACATACCTGTAAGCCTAGAACTTGGGAGAATGAAAACTTTGATTCTGAGGCCAGCCTGGCCTATAGAGTGAGACCTTATCTAAAAGAAAAAAACAAAAACAAAAGACAAAACAAAACAAAAAACCCCTCCTGCCCCACCACCAATCAACAAACAAAAAAACCAACAGACAATAATTGTAGTACATGGTAACTGTTAGTTCTAGTATTTCCACTTTTTTGCTTTTGTTGCGACATGGTCATACTATGTAGCTAACCTAAGCCTGGCCTTGAACTGACAAAGCAGCTATACTACTCTTAACTTTATCTTCCTGCCAGAGAATACCAAGTACTAGAACCCCAGATGTCTACAGCCATGCTAGAATTCCACTTGGTTTTTACTACAGTTTCTTTATACACTAGTGCACATGCACATGCACATGGACAGATATATACACGTGTGGTACATGTGGAGGTCAGAGGACAATGCAGGTTTCGTTCTCTCTGGACCCTAAAGATTGAATTTAGCTCATCAGGTATTGTGTGCCAAGGGCCTTTACCTGAGGAGCCATCTCCCCATGTCCCACGGCTTCCTTTTTAAATGTTTTCAATTCTTTGTCAAAATTCTTAGAAATTTCTCTGAAAACCCAAGTATCTTTAGGTCCTGCAAATAAAAATGGAATCTTGTTTTCACTTATGTCTCTTTGTGAGGCATTTTATTGAATGGCCTACAATGTATCTCCAACACTTCTTACATTTGAAGACCTACGTTATTATTGTTGTACAACAACATTCCATTAAGGTGTTTTAGCAAAATCTTGCTATCCCACAGGTTCTGCATGGTTAGGTCTTCTGCTTCAAGGTCTAAGCTTGACACAGTATTTAGCTGGACTCAGGTGAGGCTCCAGTGAGACAGGATCCACCTCCCAAATCACATGGCTGCTGGCATCAATGGTCAATGAAGTTACAGATATAACCATTAGGCAGCACAGTTTAAGATGGGTCACACATACAGAGAGATAGCTCCCTGCCACATGTCTCCATTTCCTTAGAAATGTGTCCTCACCGTCAGTTCTCTGAGGTAATTAGGCAGGGATCTTACCCTTGTTCAGCTGCAGCTTGTCTAGACATTCTCAGGAAGTCAGACGGTCTAAACTACTTGTCAATTTATTGCAAATTAAACTATTATATTTTAATTTTAGTTGTACAGTTTGTTATTGGTCTTGATATAGACAAATAATTTATAAGTAATGTGTTTCAGTATAGTCTGATTTTTTAAAGATTTACTTTGGATTTGGAAAAAACCCTAGAGTATAATTTTTTTCCTTATTACATTATACTGAATATTTGTATTTAGGAGCTTAAGAAAAACTTTACTATATCAGTGTGGTGATGTATGCCTATAATCCCAGCAGCTGGAGGCAGAAGTAGGCAGACTGTTGTGGGCTCCAGGGCAGCCAGGGCTACACAGTAAGACCATGTGTCAAAAAAACAAACCAAAAAAACAAGAGAACAAAAAAGCCAGAAAAAACAAAAAACAAAAAACAACCAAACCAAGCCAAAACCAAAATACAGAAAGAAAACTCTATTTTATGTATTAAGTATTTATGACCAATTACAAACCTATGGGTTAGCATGAATTTATAAAAATGCCTAGATCAGCTGATAATTTGCCAATATTCCTAACATCAGTCTCTTAACTGTTGAGTATTCATACAAGTTCATATTTCTCACAACTGATTTGCCAAATATAAGTAACAGTTTAAACTGGCATGCTGAAGCCAGGCATGGTGGTACATACCTGTGATCCCAACACTCTGGAGGCAAACAGACAGGATTGAGAACCTGAGATATATCTGGGTTATAGAGGTAGCCTATCTTGAAACAAAACAGCATATCATATTATAGTAATTATTTATGGTGCTATGATATAAACATGAAACATGCGAGGAAGAATAATATATATTTTATTTCAAAAGGAAATCCCTACTGATGAAAACTTCCAACAAGAAATACTGCCTCATGGGCTGGCTAGATACCTCAACAGTTAAGGGCACTTGTCACTAAGGCTGATGACCTGAGTTTGATCTTTGGGACCCACACAGTGGAATGAGAACCAATTACCAATAAGCTGTTTTCTGACCTCCACCACAGTATCCCTCAACTCCACACAAAATGTAAAATACTGCGCTCTTGTTTTAAAAACAGATTTCAGAAGACATATACATTTGAGAGCTTTTTATTCTTATGTGAATAAAGTATCGGGCTTTCGTTGTTGAGAAAATCAAGCTAGTTTTATTTCTTGCATTTGAAATAGTCTTCAATTAGCATCCTTAACACACCACAGCTAGGTTTATAGGTTCCCTCTCTTGTTTTCACAGATGCCTAATTTGATCTTCATGCTCAGCACCAAGCTCCTCCACCAACTTGACACACAAAGGCTCATCACAATTGGGTTCAAGTACATACTTGCCTAAGGCTTTGGCGGCTTTGCATGAGCCTCATGCTGGGCCCTCTTGGATGACGGCAGTCTTCAGTGCTCCTGTTAGGCAGTATTAGCATCCATTTCACCTCCAGTAACAACGCCTGCCTTGGCCATAGTAGCAGGTGGTGGGGAAGCTGAATCTTGGACATACTTGAGTGTCTGTATGACTTGCTGACAGCAGGGGAAGACAGCTCATCAACTCCTTTCAACATTGGTAACTATTGCGTCTATTTTTTAAATAAGAGTAAAATAAAGCTACTTTCTTCAGAAATTAAAAAAAAAAAAAAACAACCAGAATCTATTAACCAGCCTTAGTATAGACTATGAGTTCCACATACTTTAATTATATATTGTTTTTCCACTTTTTCCCAGGCACATGACCACCTGGAATGAAAGCTACATTTCCCATCTTTGCAGTTGGGGAAGGCTCTGACCAGGTTTTGGCTAGTGGTATTCAAAAAGAACTGTTTGGTACAATTGGAAAATATTCTTGAACAAAGGGTAAACTCCTACTGCCCTGGTTCTTGGTGGTCATACTGTTTGTTGTGAGGATTGGAGCTTCAATATCAATCTCAAACCATGGGTTAGGACCAAAAGCTGAGGGTGGCTAAGCAACCTAGTGGCCTTGACATCCCACCAGAATTCTTTAAGAGGAAAACCTCTCACTTAAAGGTACTAATACTGGGAATTGAGTTTTATGTTGCTGAGCCCGACCTTAACTAATGCACACTTCAATGGTTGGCACATCACATCTTCATTAGACGTTGTAAATGAGAAATTATTTCAACACCTGAAGACCAAACTACAACAGACGATTCCATAGGCTCAAAGTTTTGAGACATTTTGGCAAGAGTTCTATGTAAAGTATATCCTTCCCGTGGCATGGCAACATCATTTTTCTTTAAAAAAGTTACTGGACAGACATCATTTCCACCATCGCCTATATAAACAATCTGTGTATACCTCACTCCCTTTTGTAACTGTTTATCTATAAATTCTCCCAAAACTATATTTTTGCAAAGATTCTTTGGGCACCTAGTGCAAGAATGACTATGGCAATTTTTCACTGTGAGACAACCATTGCTATCAAAAGATGCTGGATTGGTAAACACGTTATCAAAGACATCACGAAAAGCAGCAGCTTCTAAAACCCAATCAATGAAGATGGAATTTGAATCCGAAATGATGATGCAGTCAAATCTGTCCTTATTCATCCTCAGGAAGCTGAGAAGTTCTATCATCCCTGAGGTGAAGGGCAGTGACGTCACTGCCCTCTTCAGTTCATCTTCTTTTACCCCCTCATCTTTCAAATACTTAAAGACTCTGCCCATAAATTCTGTCCAAAGCCCCTTTTGGTAAGAATCTTGTAGCTCAATGGGAAGCTTTTTGTCTGGAGCACACTGTACAATCCAGGTGTCACTGTTGTCATCTATGATTGTATTGTCAAAGTCAAACACCAACAAAACTTTCATGGTTCCACTAACAGACTTGGGTTACCCTGAAAGAAAGGAAATATTATTCCCTAAACACACTGTGTTTATATATCTGTTATACTGATTTAAGAGAAGCAAATGTTAACCCGATAAGAGCTGGCTGTGGTAGCACCTGTCTATCATATTGGCACTTAAGAGGTTGGGGCAGAAGGAACAAGAGGTTCATGCTGACCTGGAAAAAATATATATATTATACCAGTTAACATGCTAAAACATGGAGTAGAAATTAGTAACTTAACATGTTTTTTGCTTTTTTCCTGAAATGGGAGTCTCACTATATACCCCTGGTTTAGTCTGGAACATTCTATGTAGAACAGGCTGGCCTGGAACTGAAGATTAATCCATTTGCTTGTGCTTCCCAAATGATTGAATTAAAGGTACATGCTACCACACTCAGCTTTTATTAGGCATTAAAAAAAATTTAAGAAATTTTTCTTCTTACATATGCTATATGTACCAAATTTGTGTTTGGTGCCCAAGGAGGCCAGAAGAGGTCTTTGGATCCCTTTGAGCTGGGCTTACTGATTGTCAATTGCTATGGGGTGCTAGCAATGAACCTAGGTCCTCTGAAAAAGCAGTTAAGTATTCCTACCCAGTGAGCCATCTCTCCAACTCCCAATTAAGCATCTTTTTTTTTTTTTTGGTTTTTTGAGACAGGGTTTCTCTGTGTAGCCCTGGCTGTCCTAGAACTCACTCTGTAGACCAGGCTAGCCTTGAACTCTCGAACTCAGAAATCCGCCTGCCTCTGCCTCCCAAGTGCTGGGATTAAAGGCGTGTACCACCACCGCCCGGCAAGGATTTTTTTTTTTTAGAATCATCGCTTATTTTTCCTAAGAGAGCTATTACAGTTATTTTATTAGCTTATAACATAATAATCATCATTATTAAAGTAAGAGGCCATAATATACTATGGCTATTCTACATATTAACAAAAGTTCTAATGAATTTAAGTTATGTAACTATAAAATGTAAAATAATTTTTAATTGGCTTTCAGATTAAACTCAATTTCTAAATGTCAATGTTATGACTAAATGATTATTATTTCTTGTTTTTGTTTTTTTGTTTTTTTGAGATGAGGTTTCTCTGTGTAGTTAGTCCTGGCTATCCTGGAATGCATTTTGTAGGCCAGGCTGGCCTTGAACTTAGAGACCCACCTGACTCTGCCTCCTGAGTGCTGGGATTAAAGGCATGTGCCACCAAGCCCAGATTCAAGTAGGTTAATTTTAACAAAAGATGTTAAGTAAAAATACCCAGGGCTGGAGAGAGATGGCTCAGTGGTTAAGAGCACTGGTTGCTCTTCCAGAGGTCCTGAGTTCAATTCCCAGCAAGCACATGGTAGCTTACAACCATCTGTAATGGGATCTGATGCCCTCTTCTGGCATGCAGGTGGCATGCAGATAGAACACTCATATACATAAAATAAATACATCTTTAAAAAAATCCTTATTAACATTAAAGTACATACAAAAAAGCTATAATCTTGTTATAATTTTAAAAATTCTAAAAAAAAGTAAAACATCCAAAATAGGAAAAAGATACAGAAATCAAGTAAAAATAGAAAACATGGTATGTAGCTAAAGTATTTTCTGGCTTATTAAAAAAGCTAATTAGTAGTAAAGATAGAGCCGGGCAGTGGTGGCGCACACCTTTGATCCCAGCACTTGGGAAGCAGAGGCAGGTGAGTTTTTGAGTTTGAGGCCAGGGTCTACAGAGTGAGTTCCAGGACAGCCAGGGCTACACAGAGAAACCCTGTCTCAAAAAACAAAAACAAACAAACAAACAAACAAACAAACAAAAAAACCCCCAAAAAAGTAGTAAAGATAGAACACACACACAAGTACTTTGTCTGTCACTTTATGGTATGGAGGGAATGTATAACCTGGAGGGGAATCTCCTCTTATGTGAACTTACTGATTTTGATGTTATTGGTGAGGGAAGGTTTTTGAGACAGAGCTCAGTCTGGAGCCCAGGCTGTCCTTGAACTTGTGATCCTCCTATTTAGCCTCCAATGTGCTGGGATTACAGGCATGAGCCAACATACCCAGCTGTTGTATGAATTTAGAGGCAAAATTGATGATTACTGATCACTTAAGAACACTTCAGTTAGCTGGGCAGTGGTGGTACACCCTTTTAATTCAGCAGAGGCAGAGGCAGGTAGATCTCTGAGTTCAAGACCAGCCTAGTCTACAGGGTGAGTTCCAGAACAGCCAGGGTTACTTGAAAAATCCATTTCTTAAAAAAACACCCCACCTCTACAAAAAAAAAAAAAACCATTTAAATTAAATATACTGCCTTAGGGTTTCCATTGCTGTGAGGAGACACCATGACCAAGGCAACTCTTATAAAGACAACAATTAATTGGGGCTGGCTTACAGGTTATGAGGTTCAGTCCATTATTACCATGGTGTGAATGGCAGTGTTCAGGCTGGCATGATGGCTGGAGGAGCTGAGTACTGTATCTCATTCCAAAGGCAAACAGAAGACTGTCTTCTAGGCAGTTAGGAGGATGGTCACTTCCTCACTAGGCAGAGCTTCAAAGCCTACCCCAACAGTGATGCACTTCTTCCAACAAGGCCACACCTCCTAATAGCGTCACTTCCCATGTGCCAAGCATATTCAAACCACCACATACACCTCATGGAGATTGACAGTGTATGATTTTAAAAAATTTTTCTAGGGATGTATACATGCTTCAGAGGGAGAGACCTGCCCAGCAGTGTGAAACCTCAGTTTGATCTCCAGCACCATATTAAAAGAAAACTTTCTCTAATGTAACTCATTGTTAGTGGATAATACCTCGAGCATAGGTTTAATTCACCACAAATTACTGAAAAATTTTAACTTTTTTTTGTTTTTGTTTTTTTGAGACAGGAATTCTCTGTATAGCCCTTGGTTGTCCTGGAACTCACTCTGTAGACCAGGCTGAGAAGAACACAAGTGAAGTAAAATCACATTTAAGGCTACTCTAAGAGTATTTTTTTTCTCAATTTTAGATTTTTTCCTGTCTTGTAAAAATATTTTTTATTAAATTCACTTACCCAAGCTGGTACTTGTAGTCCAATTACTGTGACTTCAACACAAAGCTTGGGGAATCTTCAATCTGCCAGCTGTTTGTAAAAGTTACTCCAGTTCTGTATGCAGAGAAACTGCTCTGATATGCAGGAAAGGAACGAAGACTTCTTAATTCCTAAAATTAATACAAGTATTTTAAAGGCTTATAATTTATTTTTTCTAATTACATCCCTTTTCCTCCTATCAAAAAACCGAAAGACATGTACTGGCAATGAAGAAACAATTTGATTATACACATATACTTGAAATAAATGCAAAAAGTATGTCATATAAAAACATTTCATCTGATTAATAAAATCACACGTGTGAAGTCAACTGAATATCATTTCAATTTTTCTCATTAAATGGGAAACACTAAATATTTTATTTATACTCAGCTATGAGTGATGTACTTAAAATAAAAAATCTACAAAAATTAAGGAAGAAAAATTACACAGACTGACTTTTAACAATGTGAATTTACTAGGGAACTGTTTTACTAAAATTTGGGAATTTGAAAAACAGACCAGTAATCCCAGCACTCCAGAGGCTGAGGCAGACATAAGGTGTGATCCTGGACCCGGCTTAGGTTACACAAGCAGCATGAAGAGTTACGTGAGCACAGAGGATGGGAAAACACTTGTCCTGCAAGCCAAGTGTGAGTATACCATTACACTCATTCAACACACACACAATAACACATTTTATTAACAAAACAAAACCCACATTCTCAGGGCTGGAGAGATGGCTCACTGGTTAAGAGTGCATGCTGCTCTAGCAGAGCATCCAAGTGTTTAGTTCTCAGACCCCAAGTCTGGTGGTACAATTCTAGCTCCAGGGGGCTTAATATCTCTAGACTCCATGGCTCGCACATGCACGTGTACACACACACACACACACACATACCCTAAATAAGTAAATAAGGGGCTGCAGAGGTGGCTCAGCAGTTAAGAGCACATACTGCTTTTGTAGAAGATCCAAGTTTGAGTGGCTTATCACCACCTATAACTCAAGCTCCACCGGAATCTGACAGCTCTAGCCTCTTCTGGCACCTTCAATCATGTGCACTTATCTTCACACAAACACTTATACAAACGTACACATAACTAAGTATAATACACATAGAATGGTTTATGGACAGTGGCCAGGTCTTAATGAGTGGTTTAATCATCATTTGTAGTTTGTCTTCTGATTTTGTTTTAAAAATATCTCGATAATAATTTAAATTGTTTCAAATTAGGGTGAAAATACTTCAATTTACAACAGAAATAAGAGCTTCGAGGCAAACAAACAAACAAACAAACAAACAACCAGTTCTAGACCAACTTGTATAGAAAGGCTGTAGGTTGCAGTTGTAATCCGGAGTTTCAAGTCAAATATGAGACCCTATTTGAAATATAAGACTGTATATTAGAAGGTTGCTGACGTATTTTATGAGGTTCAATACTTGTAACTAATTTAGTAAAACTTCTGAGGATTTTCACTGAGAGACATCGTCTATACAGCTTCTGTCTTCTAAGTTATATACTCAATGTCCCAGTTGCTTCAAGAATGTCTCTCCAGTGAACAGGTTAAAAGGCACCCATGTTGTCCCTTGTGATTTGAACTCCCTCAGCTCAGAGTTTCTGTCCTATGATGGGACACACATCACATCCACATAATTTCTTGCTCACTCCACAACATCTTGGGGGAAGAGGGGCTTAGGAAAAGCGGCAAAATTTGCTGGTGATGCAGCTAGCACTGTGTAATTCACTGATCCCTCACTAGGCGGCGTGTTCTCTCACAAACTATGAAAGTGGCTGTTTGCCTGGAAATACAGTACAATCCTTGATCTTTTCAGTCCTTGTGAGCTCCCAACATACTAGGACATGTACACAAAGTTCTATCTCCAGAAATTTTTATTAATCCTTCCATACTTACCAGCATTATTACAGTGGAACATCTCTGATAGAAAACCTGAAGAGAGATAGCACACCTATGTGTTAGAATGTTCATTATTGAAAATCGCACTTACTTTCATTTGAGGAACGACAAGTGTTGCTTAATTAGCCGATAGTATCAACAATTTAGTAATGAAATCAGTTGTACATATATGTCAGGAGAGCCTCTTTTGAGATCAAGTGCCAGTCCACTTTTTGTGTCATTAGAGACTCTCTGGTCCCCAACCGCACTAATTACAAGTTATTTACCAAGCAGTTTAATATGTTAAAGGTATTAACTTGAGTGTTCTGGGGACAACATTCAAGTTTTAATAGTCCTATGTAAAAACTGACAGGGTCTCATCTAGTCCTGACTATGCCTCACCATCCAAATAATTTAAAAACACCTTGTATATCCCTTAATCCTTGGGGTTCTGTGGTCAAAGAGGGCTGTCCTTCACCTCAGCCAGCGAGGCGCAGTGTAGGAGCAGCCTGGGCCTCGACTCGCACACCGGCCGGTTCCAAACTAGCGCAGCGTCTGAGAAAAGCGGAACCGGCCGAGCGGGACGGAGCGCTCCTCACTGACCCAGGCCTGGGTCGCAGCCGACCACCAGCATCCGTTCCAGCGTCGGCCAGTTGGTTCTCGTGCCTTACGTCGACGCAGACCTGCTAACGCCGCAGCTCTCCTACCGCTCTGCACCGCGCACGCGCACACTCGTGCTTCGTTCCTCGGTTCAGCCACCGACAGGGCTCCTTCCTGGTTCCTGGCTGGCGATTAACGTCACTTCCGGCGTGGTTGCTAAACAACCAAATGGTTTAGCTACCATTCGGTCGCAACTTCAGCTTGGAAATAGTCTCACCCGCTGAGGATTCGCGGGGCTCAGCTTGTTAAAGATGCAGGTGCGCTTTGGACGGCGCTCCGGACAGGCGAAGGGAAGCCCAGGTGAGCTGCCTTGGCCTGTGCCGGAGCTGGGATTGTTTCTAGAACCCCGGCATAGGGTGACAAAGTGAGGGCTTCGGTTGCCTTTTGAAATGGGCTTTACCAAGTCGAAAGCATTCCCAGAAAAGCATCCTTGAAGTGTAGCACGTTGGCCTTCAGGTGAATGAGTGGAAAAAGGAAAGAGGACTAGGGGCGTATTGTAGAAAGTTTACAGGAATGGGGTAGAAAAAGCTGAAAGTTAGACATCTTACCACAGCTCTCGCTGGTCGATAACCAGGGGGCTCTTAAACTTTGTTATTCGTTGAGTACATTTTGGAATGCCGCTTGGAAATGTTATTGACCTATCAACGTCTTTATTCTGTTGCAGACCTGCTGAGTAGCCCTTTCTAAAGCTCAAGGACATACCTCAGTTCTTTCCACGCTAAAATTAAAACTCTCTTAGTCAAATGCTTTGATACTGTAAAAAATACGGTAATTAAGGTGACCTAAGATTTGATTTTTTTCCCAAAGATATGAGCAAGTAGAACTTCTAAAAACAAAATCTTTATTTAAGTCCAACAGCAAGTTTAATTGTTGTAATGGTAACTAATAGATTCTTGGGAATTTGAACTATCTTCATCTTTTGCTTGAGTTCTGTAGCAGTAGCACCCCCACCCCACACCCTAGATAGACACAACCTGTTCAGTGGGAACATTAGGAAATTTGATTCATACACAAAGACATTGTAAAAGTAATTTTTATTCACCAGATGTAATTGTTGTCTTGGAGGCTTACTGCTGAATAAGCTCACCCTTTTTAGTTCTTTCTGAACTCTGGCCTTGCTGGTTCAAGCAGGTGTTCTGGCCCAAACTCCTTTAAAAGCTGACTGATTCAAACTGGCTTCTCTCAGCCTCTTACTGAATTGCTCTTCTTGGGAAAATTGTCTCTGAATTCTATGAATTGAAGTGCGCTGACTGCACGAACTGAACAAACCTGAATAGAACTGCATGAACTCAACTGAGCTCCACTGCATTGCCTGAACTCGACCGAACTGCCCTCACTGAACTGCCCTCCACTCGAACCCACGCTGCTTTGCCTCTCTGTCCTGTCCCTGTAAGAGTTAGGCATATCTTATTTTGTCAAATCTTTCTCTGACTCCTCACTTTATCTGTCTCTCAATTAGACATCACTTTCAAACATGGCTGCTTTCTTCTTCAAACTAACTTTACCTTAGTTATTAGGGATTAAAGTTGCGTACTAAGGACATGTCTGTATTCCAGGCAGAGGTGCGTTATTCCAGCTGGATCACACAGACCTAGAAGGTTTTTGTATGTGATCTCTTGCCAGAGCAGCCACATAGCTGGATTAAAATTCCTCTACATCTTCCCCCTTTCTGTTTTGTTTTTAAATATTTATTTTATGCATATAAATACACTGTAGCTGTCTTCAGACACACCCGAAGAGGGCATCAGTTCCCATTTCCGATGGTTGTGAGCTACCCCGTAGTTGCTGGGAACTGAACTCAGGACCTCTGGCAGAGCAGTCAGTGCTCTTAATCGATGAGCCATCTCTCCAGTCCCCCTTTCTGTTTAAGTCAAAAATCATACGCAGTTTTAACTACTACAAGAGATGTTTCAGAAGTCATTGTTAGGAGTCAGCATGTCTAGTAGTTATGTGGTGTTGTGATTTAAGTACTATGCTTTCCCCCATAAGTTCATGTTGCTAGGCTGGGAGCCTTGAGAGGTGTTGAGATCTAAGCTAGGCACAGTAGTAAATACATAGAATCCTAACTCCTTAGGAGGCTGAGGCAGGAGGATCCTGAGTTGAACATGTTTCTGAAGAAGGTTGTTAATGAGCTCCACTGTATTAGTTAGGATATTTTGAGTTAATATAACAGAATACCCAACTCAATGATATTAAAAAATAAGGAAATGCACTTACTTATTTAGTTATGGAGCCTTCAGAGTGGGTTAATTAGCAGCACAATATGATGATCATTGCTCTAGCTTCTTCCTTTGCTTCTTGTTTGCATTTCATACTAACAGTTTCATCCCAAGCTGGTTCCTCTCAAGATCATGGAATGACCCCCTTATCCATCTCTCTTACTTTCTTGCTTGTGCACAGCTTTAAAGTCTCTTGAGTGTCTCTCCCAAAACAAAGAAGAGATTTTTCTTGTTTCTTTGATTAACATTAGAGAAATAATTGTTGGTAAGGGAGGTTTCTGTATAGTCAAACTATCTAGACCTAGCCCAAGACGGTAGTTGGTTCTTCAAGTTACCTTCTCAGTGGGGAAGAAGTTGTATAGTGTCCATTCACAGTGTCTGCAAATGCAACAGATGGATGTTTCTAAAGGTATCCACCTTTGAAATGACACACTTACTCTGAAAATGCTTTTATTACAACCTATTGGTATAGTCATTGTTGATCACAGTCTGAAAGAAGAAGATACCAATGATACAGGGTAAATCAAGGTCCCCTTTGGGGATTCTCAGTCTCAATAAAAGAATTTAAGAATAGACTCAAATAGAAGCTCAAGAACAATTTTATTAAAAAGGAAAACTGCAGGACAGGTAAGCTGCAAAAGTTCAATTGCTGCCCCAAGGAGGAAAGAAAGAGCTGTGTTAGTTAAACTGGCATGAAAGTCAGACATGGCAGGCAAGCAGCTGTGTATTGAGGAGAGACTTTAGAACAATGGTCTTCAACCTTCCTAATGCTGGGACCCTTTACTACAGTTCTTATGTTGTGGTGACCCGCACCATGCAATTATTTTCTGTACTATTTCATGATTATAACTTTATGAAGTATACTGTAAATATCTGTGTTTTTCAATGGTCTTAGGCCCCAAAGGGGTCGCGATGCACAGATTGAGAACCACTGCTTTAGAGAAAGCATGCAGTCTGAAATGCTGGGGGAAAGCACAAAGCTTTAAGGAAAGCATGCTAAGGAGAGATAGAAGAAAAGGAGAATACACCTCTCTGATCAGTTCAGAAGAGTGAAGAAACTTAACAAATTACATGGCTATGCCACATAAGATTCTGAATTGGGGCAGGGATTCTAAGAAAGAACATAAAGCAATAAAATCATGCATATAACAACATGAATGAATCTCAAAGTAATTCCTTTGAATAAAATCTATAATAAAAATAGTAGTTGCATGGTGGCCTAATAGAGCCTAAGGAGGGATGACAAGCAGTAGAACAGGGCATGGGGACTGCTAGTGTCCTATGGCCATCATCTGAACTGTAATGATGGCTTTGGAGGCATAGTTGTCAAATTTAATGAAATGGATCTTTAAAAAAAGAGCTAATTCTGCTTATCTCATTAGCATGGCTGAAGTGGAGTTCAAGGATGGGCCCTTAGCAAACATGATTGAATCCCAATCCCAACTAGCATGTTTGGTCTCCACCCAGGCTATAGACCTCACTCTCTTGATCAGGAACTTTTCCACCAAGATTCTACAAAGTTAAATGTCTTGCCCAAGTTTACACACAAAGGAAATCACCAAAGATTTGATGACTTTGCTCTGACTTCATAAAGCCTTGTATTATCTCCCTCAGCCAACCTTAAGTTACACATTTGAGGCAATTATGAAATTATGAAAAAGAATCACGTGAACTCTTCCTGGAAAGGTATCTAATAATTATGTTTTTGAATGCATTAGGAATGGATTCAGACTATGAAAAAGACAAGATTCCCTATCCACCTCTCCTACCTAGCAAGGTAGATCTCCAGCAGATCACCATACTCCCACATGCTGAGTGGGAAAGGATCCGGGATAGCCTCAACAGGTTGACAAGAGAAGCAGCAGTCCTTCGTGCAGAAAGAACAGCAAAGAAAAATATGCATATGCAATCTCAAGAGATGGTAAAACACTGGACTAACACATATGCAGTAAGTCTCAACCTTCCAGAACTCACATGCTTTGAACAGTAACTGTTGCTTCTGAAGAGTGCCTTATACCTTGTATAGGTAATTTTATGTTCAAACTGTCATAAGTACAATAACACACATTTTTAAGATCTTTAAGTAACATACCATAAATGACTCAATTAAGGTAAACATTTTGTTA